AGCTCATTTCATTCTTTTTGTTGGCGAGATGTCCGGGTCTTTTTGTCGATGATGACTGACAAGTTGAAGTGCCTAGGTCTTTTTGTCGAAGACGACTAAACGATTGAACTCCATGCCTTAGGTTTACTCATGATGACACCAAGATCTTAGGGTACGTGCCTTGGACTTAATGAAGGCGCCAAGGTCTTTTCGACAAATTGACAACTCTGAGGTTGGGTGCCCAAGACGTACGTAGACGCCCGAGTCTTTTCGGCAAATTGACAACCTAGAGGTTGGGTGCCCAGGACTTACGTAAACACATGGGTCTTATCACCCTACTGAGGACCGTCCTAATGACAAAACGCTAAAATGACAACCCGGAGGTTAGGTACCCAGAACTTATGTAGACGCCTGGGTCTTATTGCCCTATTGAGGGACATCCTGATGGCTAAACGGTAAATGATAACCTGAAGGTCAGGTGCCCAGGACTTACGTAGATACCTGGGTCTTATCGCCCTACCATAATGGTCGAGTGACAAATGTGGGAGTCGACCATATAGTGAGTGTGCCTTGGGTTTATCCTGAGAAGACACGATAATGGTCAAGTGACAAATGTGGGAGTCGGTCATATAGTGAGTGTGCCTTGGGTTTACCCTGAGAAGGCACGAAGGACTTAGAATTCCTGCATAGATTAGGCACTACGGGAGTGCGAAACAGGAGTCAGTAGCGAATAAGATTTTCATTAATAATAAATGAAACTTGTGTACATTATTGAAAACTAATCATGTTGATGACCCCCTTATGGCTGGGCTCCAGGGTTCGGTTATCCTGGTGCAGTCGAGGACAAGGCAACCACGAGCGGGATCTCCTATCGGTCTCGGTGGGGGTAGCTTCCCTTCAGCTCTCTAAAAGACGAGCTTCTTTAGATACACTCTCTCAATCAAGTCCTCGATGTACCTTTTGAGGATACGGTAGTCATTGGTGAGGTGGCCATGATCTCTGTGGTAACGACAAAACTGACTCATATCTCGGTTTCGTGGATTCGACCTCATCTGAGGAGCAGGCTCCTTGATGTGTCCCTCCTTTTAAACTCTGCTGAGAGCTTCTGTGAGGGAAGTGTTGAGGACTGTAAGAGTGGGCCTTGGCGCCTGGTCCCTTCATCGGTCCCTCTTGTCAGACTGATTGGAGCGAGAGTCGACCCTCAGATGGTCTCTCGGCCACTCCTACCCCGCAGGGGGGGCCTCTAGCCGATTTCAGTGTCGGTGCT